ATTCTTCTTAAATTACTATGAGCAGCTAGTTTTGTGAAGTCCTTCTGATCAGTAACAAATTTTAAATCAGTTGGAAATGGTGGTAATTCATAATCTTCTTGGAGTTTAATTTCCTTCTCTATTAATTGATCATCATTTTCTTCATCATCAGAATGATTATTACTCGAATTAGATGATGAAACTTCGGTATTTTCTATAACTACTTCGTCAACAAATGGAATGGAATCAGAAGATTTCATATTTTCATCAACAAATAGTGATTGTTCTTCCTGATCATCATTATCATCTATTGGCGTTGGATTCGATTGAATTTTCTCACTGCATAGCTTATATGACAATTTTTCACGTTCATCCAGAAATAATGTTCTTTGTTTTAACTTCGGAAATAAAGATTTAATTTCTTCAAAACGTAATTTCTGTAATAAATGTCCATCAATTTCTTCTTGTAAAAAAAAAAGATAGTATATATACTAGACTGTTAGAATCGAAGAAAGACAAGTTGACTTCATCACTCAAAAAAATATGTCCAGCATCAAAACAGTGCGGAACTTCTTTGTTTTACTGATATGGCTATTCATCTAGTTAAACGTGTTAAAACATTAACAAAAGATGATTTTTTTAAACAGTAAACATCAAGTCCATGTGGAAGTATATTCACACACTCATCTAGGTTCATAACAGAAAATTTGTCGAGATAAGTGATCTCGTAAGACCATAGAGTTTGATCAAAAGACGAAGTTTCTAGGTGCTGAACAATTAATTTCCACGTATCAGTTAATTTTAATATGTAACGAAGAAGAACAAATTCAGGAATTTCTTCTCCGTGATGCAAGGCTATAATGAAAACAGAATTTTTAATGTATTTAACATGATTATGAATTAATGTTTGACATTCAATATATGTTAATGAATCAAGATGATTTTGTACCAATAAAAGTTTTATGTTAATCGGTAATTGAGATGACTTGATAGATTTAGTTGATATTGTTTGATCGATTAAGTGATAAAACTTTTCATAAGATAATAATAAACCAAGACGAAGTTGATGCCTTTTCGCTAACGTAAATGAAACATTTTTGAAGTTTGTCGACCGTATAGCAAGTTTTTTGAAGTACAGATGTTTGTCTTCAAATCTTTGACACCAATAATTACGTGGTGGACCATTTCTTTTGATTAACTCCGGATAATGAGTAATAAAATGCACTTTTGCAGTAATATTGTCTGGTAATTTATCAATCATCAAAGAATGAAAAGATATTGGTACAGATGTTAAATAAAGAAGCCACGATTTTCGAATTCTCGTTGCAAAAACAATCGAAACAATTTCACGAAGACAAGTATATATAGGTAGTAAATCAATTAAACGATTAATAACGTCATGAAATATAATGGGTAGCATTTGAAATAGCAGAAGTTTTTGTGAAGCTGACCCAGGAATATGATTGTTGGTGAGATGTTTTGGTCGAACTGTAGGTGGTTTATTGGACTGATCATTCTGTCCATATTCAAAAGCTTCTAATCTTGCTTCGATTTGTGCGTAAGTAAGAATTCGACGTGCAGATAATTCTTTTAATATGGATTGGACAATTATCATGCATACACCTAGAGAAATGAAAGAAATTTAAGCATCAGTAGATTCATGTAATTTACCTTCTGAAAAATCGTGCATGATGTCGAAAGGTAATGATCTTATCGGATGAAATGCAATTAAATTTGAAAAATCACTATGACGAGTAATACCAAAAATTGAATTTTTTGATTGTAATACTTGATTTAAATAACTTTCATATGATTTTTCAGATCGTAACAAAAAAGAAATATCTGTTAATGGAATGGACTTGTAAGTGTAAGAAATATTACACATGCGGCAGAAATAACCATTGTTAAAGTTTTTTTGAAAACCTCCAAGATCATTTGCAGCCAAGTTATCTGCAGCCAATAAATTAAATGCAAAATGTAAACGTCCAGTACCTGTGGATAATGTTAAACGTTGTGTTTGCAATTCGTTTAAATCATTAATCATTGCTTCAAAATATATTCGACGATGTGATGGATTAGTTAATAATTTTGATAAACAAATACCAAATGAACTAATAGAATTTAACAATGATCAAATAATTGGAGGTAAATCATCAAGGATGTAATAAAATAATGATAATTTCTTTTCATCTTTTTTTGGCCCAATAGGATTGGTAACGCTAACATCATCACTATACAACTAATAAAAATGAATATATATTTTTCTCAAGTGATTTATTGGTAGCGGCAGCAGTACCATCACGATATTTTAATAGCAAATCTTTATTTTTTTTTGTTGTTAGTATTGTTTCATTTATATTTTTAACCAATAGATCAATAACATCTGGTTTATTCAGAAAATTTCGGATGGATTTCTTTATCGGAATAATATAGCCACAATCACCTGATTCATTCAACTCTATCTTATGTGGCTCTTCATATTGAAAAAATTCTTGACAACTCTTAATGAATTGATATTCATTTTTTGCTGCACCTTCTATTGTACGAATTATTTGGTTAAAAATTCCTTCTACTTTGATTATTGGTACGGCGGCTGTTGTTGCTAAATTCGCACCACTTCCTGTGCTTTCTATAATATTAAGCACAGTATTGGATAGAATTGAAAAATTAGATGTAACTGATCTGATGATGTTCTGAGAAAGCAAGTGCTGTTCACGTAATTCCAAGAGAAAATCTGTATAATATTTCTGAAATTTTCTCATATCAAATGGAGCGTCGTCATGTTCTAAAATCGCTTTCGTAAACAGTGGATAATCAACTTCCATTTCTTTATCATATTCATTCGTTGATTGTAAATTCTCGTTATTGTCATTGTTAGTTCTTTCATGATCGAATTCATAATTATCAGCATAAGATAATGCGAAATTGTTATTTGAATCATCATTAGTTGTAGAGAATGTATCTACTGTATCAAGTGATTTTACAATGAGTTCTCGGTGATTTTTATAAATATGAGATTTATAGCTTGGAAGTGTTCTGTAGATAGAACCACAGAGAGGAGTTAGTTCACATCTGAATTTGAATGATGGATCATTACCATGACCTAAGTTTATGTGTGTATATAAGGAATCAAATGAACAATATGCAGGAGCGTTAATACACAATTGACAAAAATAATAATTTCCACTCATGCTACAGATTTAAACTAAAATATTAAACACCAAAATACTAAAAAATTATTCTTAAAATTGTTTTTTTTGTAAATCAGAGGAAGAAATAACCTGAAACAAGTCGCGTTGATAATTCCACTTATGATGCACATGTGTATATTTAGGTAGATATTATCTGAAGAAAAAAGAAACTGGAAAATACCTTCAAAAACTTTAACAATATGTTCATCATTGATAAACGATTTGAGCCATTGTAAAACATCAGCTGAATTCATATCCATTGGTTTAATAGTTGAATAGAACAAATAATGGAAACAAAATCAAAGAAGCAATTGGATCTAAAATGAGAAATACGAATTTTAACGAAAATCAAGTTCGAATTAATAAAAAAGAAAAAAAATTGTTGGAAATATAATTTTAGAAAGTAAACCAATTTATACATCATGATTATAAGAAACATTATTGTATCTGAATTATCAGTAAAGTGCTCGATAGAAAAAAAGCTTTAGATCTACAATGTAGCAGGCACTTATTCAAATAGAAAATAATGAAGTACTAAGAAGGAAATATATATATTCTTCTGTCTTTAAAAAAAACTGAATAGGCGTTTCTCCTGTATGTTATCAATCATAACATAGTATTGACCAAAAGATGCTGAAAATTCACATAACAATTCATAATAATAAAAGTAAATGATCGAACTAATATACTTTATAATTGTTTAACAAGATTACTATCGACTGATAAATATTTTCAATGCAATGATGATTTATTTTAATCTGATTCTAAAATAAATAAAAGCCAAACGAGTTCACAAAATTATATCAATAAAAACGAAAACTCATTCCGTATTTGTATTTCAAGTGAACAAAATCAAACGAAATTCTTCATCGCAGACAATTATCGTGTGATCAATGCATAATAATGTATCGCGAAAAAAAAGAAGGAAAAAAAATGAGAAAATGGTTCTGTCAAATTATTCTACACGATTTTTGAAAAAAATATGTTCTTACCTAACCTTTTGAAGTTCTGCATTATTGGACAGAACCCTTTCGGTTCAGTATTTGCCAAAATAACTGCACGTGGTTCAGTATTTGTTTACAGAACCTTTCTCGTTCTATATAGTCGAACACAGAACTTTGCATGGCTCAGTATTTGTGTACAGAACCTTTCTCGTTCTATATAATCGAACACAGAACTTCGCACGGTTCAGCATTTGTGTACAGAACCTTTCGGGTTCATTATAATTGGATAGATAATTTTCAATGGTTCAGTATTGATGGACAGAACCCTTAGACGTTCCGCATTTATAAGACAGAACCTGATGGGTTCAGTACACTCTAAAAAAAATAGGTATTATCGAAAACCCTTAGAGGGTTTCCGAGTTTGTTACTATAGGAAACCCTTTAAGGGTTTCCGAAGAAGGGTTTCCGAGACCTCGGAAACCCATAGTACCCATTATAGCTAAACCTCAAAAAGTTCTTTGGAAACCCAAAGAAAAGGTTTCCGAATGCGGTTAAAGCTCTACCAAACTAGCCTAGACAGGAATCCATCACTTCTCTGCCAGGAGCAACAGGCATTCACAGCGGCCACAGACATTCAATGAGGTTCTGCTGTGAATCTATTCGCACCAAGAAATAACTAGAACAGACATTAAAGGTCAGCAACACACGGAATTTAAAGAAAAACTTTAATTATCCAGATGCACTTCGTCGCACCATTACCAAACCATCAAGAAGCTAAATATAACGGCCTTCTCCACCTAAAAAATGAACAAAAGAAACAATTTTTCATCGAAAATCATCTAAACTTACCCGTTTTCTTCACATTCAGCCACATCAAACCTAATGAGCATCCTTTCGCATGTAAAACATAATTCAACCAAAATAGTTAATGAACGAATTTCATAGCTCATCAAACATTACCCTACGACAATCATCTAAAAATAAAAAGAAAATTATATTTTAATTTACTAAATTGATTCAAACTCACCCGACCTATTGCGAGAAAACAATTCTAAGGATGAAAATAAAATTTCATTTTCGTACAATAATTTGAACAAACTTTCCATATATACTAATATATAAAACGAATCTACAAATAAAAATGAAACTGTTTTTTAATTTAAAGAATTTTTGTCCAACTCACCAGATCTATGAATATAAAACGAATCTAAAAATGAAAATAGAATTGTATTTTTATTTAATGCATTGATTCAGACTCACCGAATATATCGATATCACACGAGTCTAAAAATAAAAATGAAACTTTAATTTAGAAAATTGATTCAAACTTACCAAATCGATCGATATTTAATGAATCTAAAAATAAAAATAAAATCTCATGTTCATTTTGTAATTGGAGTAAACTCACCAGATATATTGAGATATAAAACGAATCTAAACGTAAAAGCGAAACTTCATTTCCATTTAGTAATTGAAATAAACTTACATGATGTATTGAAATATAAAACGAAGATAAAAATAAAATAAAATTTTATTTTAGTTTAATAAATTGATTGAAACTTACCGGATCTACCAATATCACATGAATCCAAAAACTGAAAATAAAATTGTATTTTTATTTTATTCATCGATTCAAACTCCCTGAATCTATTGACAGACAGCGAATCTGAAAGTAAAAATGAACTTTCATTCTTATTTAGTAATTGCAATGAACTCACCCGACATATTGAGTTATAAAACGAATCTAAAATCAAAAACAAAATTTCATTTTAATTTGATAAATTGATTCAAACTCACTAGATCTATCGATATCCCACGAATCTAAAAATAAAAATAGAATTTCATTTTCATTTAGTTATTGGAATAAACTCATCGGATATATTGATAAATACGGATCGAATCTCCAAACAAAAGTTAAAGATTGTATTTTTATTTAATAAGTTGAATTAACTCACGCTTTTTATTCGATTTTCGAAACAAATCGATGAATTAAAATGAAATTGTATTTTAATTTAATATTTGGAATAAAATTACGGGATATATGGCGATCTAAAACGAGTCTAAAAAGTAAAAGTGAAAATATGTTTTAATTTAATTAGTTGATTAGAACTCACCGAATTCCAGAGCCATGTTATGATAGAAAAAGAAAAATTAGGAAAGTGTTGTATTCATGAAATTAAATAAACACCTGAATAGATAGAGAAAATGTAGTATTGAAAAGTATAAATGATAAGTTAGAAATATTTTATGAAATCATTTAAAATAACTCATCTACCTGTTGAGATGATTAGATACGTAAGAAAAAAGAACATTTCATGTAACATCGAATGAATTATAGAATTCATCGAGATGAATTTACGACCGAAATCATAAGAATAGTAAGCTTTCGAACGATGTATGAAATGAAGGTACGATATTTCCTAAAGTGAAGCAGATTTTCGAGTTGATCATTAATATGATCTTAGATTATTGAAATCGAAGAGAATGGGACGGCTACTCAGATAGAGTTGATTGATAAAGCGGAGGAATTAATGTAGAAGCTCTTGATCAATATAATATGTTTCATCAGGATTTTGCTCAAGTGAAAATGATTCTATATAAGAAAATCTTTGCTTTTGAGCGTGCTTGTAGGGAAAAGTATCGTTAGTGAAGCGTTTTCTACTCATTATAGAGACGTTATTCGATAGATATGCAATCAGAAATAAAAGAATCAGCTTGCATAGCTATTCTGATGTTTTGTTCGATAGTTGAGGACCCTGATATCATTCAAATCGAAAAGGCTTAGAAAATAAGCAACCATTTGTGAATATGTAGTGTGAAATATGCTCATTGGATTCCACGTGAGTAGACTACTAAAATTCATCTCTAAAAAAGTATTCTAACTATTCTTTCTTCTAGTATTAAGGCATCTTTATATTCATATATAATAATAGCATCAAATTCGGTAATAAAATAGACGTCCCAAAGCCTTTTGTTAAATAAAATTTAGAACAAATATAAAAAGCACGCTTAAATGGTCAACCTGTAGCTAAATTTCTCTTATACTGACAGTAAAAATAAAAGTTGTTCTTGCGCTAAGTCTCCAATGAATGCAATGTAAATATAAGCAATTTCATCTCCCTTCCAAAACGTAATATTTTAGTAAAACTTCTAATAAACTATTCTCTAACGGAGAAATTATAAACAAGATTGTAACATGATTAACGATCTTCTCTACATTTAGAAATTAGTGTTTTTTCAATATAATATTTTATTAATATTAGAAAATATGAAATAACCATTGTTTTCCTTATTTTACTTCGTCTGTCGGTTGCCCTCGACCAATCTCAAAATTAGTACGACACAACCTAATGAAGTTAAAGCGAATCATAATTAAACATAAGAGAAATTGCATTGATTTGTACTTTACACATTGAACCCTTCTTTTTATTCGATTATAGAACAAAGCTAGAAAGTGACTGAAGACAAGACAAAAGTATCAGATCCATGATTTATGTTCTTGTGAAAGTTATATGAAAATATATTGTTCATATGTCTTATAAATGACATTAATTTGTTAACATGTGGACTTAAGTTGCAGTTTTCTGTTTGTTTTAAAAGCCTATAATCTTTAGAAATAAACCAACTGTAATTCTCACTTAAGAATAGAAATTTCTGCAATTCATTCCTCCTGTAATTTTTGACATCCACGATAGCTACAATATATTTCTTACGTTAGCGAAACTCAACCAAAAAAGGAAGAAAAAAGACATATGGTAATTGTCTAATTTATTTATTTTGTTTCCGATTTGTTAATATTGTATTCTCTTTTATATTCCGAAGAATAAGATCAACAGTAAAACGCACAAATAACATTCCATTATTTATGAAGCATGATCTGGCTTCATATTTCATGGAACTGTTTACACAGGAACAATTTTGAATAATTCAATGCGCAGTTATTAATTAGATCGGTGTTTTGCTGTCTCATAAAAATGTTCAAAGCTGAGCATGAGAAAGAATATGAAAAAAATAAGGTTCAAATCCACATCTATCCTTTTGCGAAGTTTTTGAGATGTCAATCAGTAAATTGAAGAAGGTATCAGAAAAGTTGAAAGCTTTAGGAACTCTTTTAAGTGTTAACACAAAATTCGCAAACCTATTTTGATTTCCAATGATTCTATTTTTAGATTGGGTATTTTAGCACACCCAACTCGGTATTCTATGATACCCTTTTTCAAATTGGGTATTTTCGCAAACCCATCTCGGTATCCTATGATACCCTTTTTCACATTGGGTATTTTCGGAAACCATTTAGGAAATGAAAAGGTATTTTC